TGCATGTTGAAGTCGCCTCCAATGATGAAAGGCCGAGCTAGCCGCTTCAGCTCTCGTGCGAGGAGGTTGACCAGGAGCCTATTCCTGGCTGTCATGCCCTCGCTGTGGTGCAGGTAGACGTTTGCAACCACCACGCCTCCTGGAAGCCATCCTTTCCAGCATCTCAGCTGTACGCGGCCACGTGCGATGTCGAACCTCGTGCTTACGCATGGGTAGCTCGCCAGACCACGCCACGGCTGCGTTGCAATACATAGGCCGCCGCTGGTGCCTCCACGACCTGTGGGCACTGCTGGGTCCAGCTGCAAGTTCCACTTGGCCCTCTTCGCCCAGTCCTCCTGCGTCGCGCACGCCACGGTGCCGTGCAAGTGTGTCTCCTGGCCCAGGAAAATGTCTGCTCGGCGAGGAGGAGGAGGAGGAGGAGGAGGACGGCGGAGGAGGAGGAGGAGGAGGAGGAGGAGGAGGAGGAGGACGACGAGGAGGAGGAGGAGGAGGAGGAGGAGGGAGGAGGAGGAGGAGGAGGAGGACAATGGACAATGACGACGGCAATGACGACGGCAATGACGACGACGACGACGACGACGACGACGACGACGACGACGACGACGACGACGACGACGACACCGACACCGACAACGACGACGACGACGACGACAACGACGACGACAACGACGACGACGTCGACGGCACCACCAGCGGCGGCGGCCACGACGTCGAGCACCGGAGCTGTCAACATGACGCCAATCCCAGCCACACGCCGCACCCACACCGCACCCACAGGGGGGGAGGGAAGGGGGGAGGAGGACCATGGCGTCACCCCGCACACACCCACAGCAACACACCACACCCACACCACATCCACAGGGGGGGGAGCCACCACGCCACGCCCACGCCCACAGGGGGAGGGGGGGGGGCATCGCGCGGAAGGGGGGGGCCCGACGGCATTAGCATTGGGGGGGGGGGCAAACCCTCGACCATATATACTATAACCATCGCGCGCGTTTCGCGCGCGCTCAAGTTCTAGCTGGGCCCGACAGGCTAACGCATGGAATCGCAATTGTTGAAGCGCCTTGTGTATCTAACGACCTTGTTGGAGTCCCTGCGCAAGCCTCGGAAGCGTATAGAAGGGGGAATGCGGAAACCACAAAATCATCAACTTGCTTTAGGTGCTCGATGATTTGAGGCCCTCGAAAGCTTCCTGGGATCTTTCTTCGATGGTGACGGGTGCCTTAATGATGGTCTGATGTGCAAAAATAGACGGGGGGTAAATTTGAATTGGCCTGGCGAAAGACCCAACCATATGCAATTGTGAGCACCGCTGTTGTAGGCATCGTCTTCGGTGGAGCCCCCTTGTAGGGCCACGAAACGCTGCCCCAAGAAAAACCCCAAACAGCCTCCGCGAATCCCGCGAAAATCGTAGTGTGTGGCTGTGCACGGACACACACTCAGGCATGCGCAGACATTTTCACATGCATCCGTACGAGTATGTGAGAGAGCGTGATCCACCGCCGCTTTACTATGAAAAATTCCCCCCACCCCCCATCCCTTAACCCCCCCCCTCCGGCAAACCGGAAGGGGCCACTACCGGGCCCCCCCCCTCTCCGGAAAACCGGGGGGATCACTACCGGTTCGAACCCTTCCCCCCCCTCGAAAACCGGGGGGGGTCACTACCGGTTCGAACCCCCCCCCCCCCTCGAACACCAGGGGGGGTCACTACCGGTTCGAACCTCCCCCCCTCTCGAAAACCGAGGGGGTCACTACCGGTTCGAACCCCTCCCCCCCCCCACGCTCACCGCCAACAAACAACTCTGGGTCCCTACCACCGTCCGCACCACATCCCCCTCTGCTGTCCCCAGCACCACTGTCCTCACCACCACTGTCCCCGCTGTTCCCACCACCGTCCCCACTGTCCCCACCAGTGCCCCCTCCACCCTCGCACTGACCCCACTGTCCCCGCCACTGTTCCGACCACGGTTCCAGTCTCCCCACTTTCTTCACGGCCCCAACCACTGTCCCACTGTCCCCGCTGTCCCACTGTCCCCGCCGCTGTCCCACTGAGCTGTCCCACTGTTCCCACCACTGCCCCCAGTGTCCCCACCACTGTCCCTACTGTACCTCTGTCCCATTATCCCACCGCCGTCCTCGCCACCGCCCTCACCACTGTCTCCACCACCATTGTACCCTCCACTGTCCCACTGTTTCCACAACGTTCCCACTGTTCCCACACCACTGTCCCCACCACCACAGTCCCCACCACTGTCACACTGTCCCAACTGTTCCCACAATTGTCCCCGCTGTCCCCACCAGTGCCCCCACCAGTGTCTCACTGTTCCCACTCTCCCCACCGTTGTCCCGCTCCCCCCTCTTTCCCCACGGTCCCCACCACTGTCCCACTGTCCCCACTGTTCCCACCACTGTCCCACTGTCCCCGCCGCTGTCCAACCGTGCTGTCCCACCGTCCCCACTGTCCCCATCACTGTCCCATTGTCCCCACTGCCCCCACCACTTTCCCCACTGTACTACTGTCCCACACTGTCCTCACCACCGCCTTCACCACTGTCCCCTCCACTACCGTCCCCACCACTGTCCCACTGTCTACCAGGCTTGCGCGCAAAATGCTTCTCCGAATCCATTGGGCTGCGATCGCAAACCTTATCCTAATTCAGCGGCTCCCCTACGAAAACCTTATCCTAACTCACTGGCCTCCCCACGACAACCGTATCCTAACACCAGGCTTGCGCGCAAAATGCTTCTCCGAATCCATTGGGCTGCGATCGAAAACATTATCCTAATTCAGCGGCTCCCCTACGAAAACCTTATCCTAACTCACTGGCCTCCCCACGAAAACCGTATCCTAACACCAGGCTTGCGCGCGAAATGCTTCTCCGAACCCATTGGATTGCCGGCGACAAACTTATTCTAACTCAACGGCTTCCCTACGAAAGCCTTGTCTTAGCACCAGGCTTACGCGCCAAATTATTCTCCGAATCCATTGGGCTGCGAACGAAAACCTTACCCTAACTCACTGGCCTCCCTACAGAAACCTTATCCTACCACCAGGCTTACGCGCCAAATTCTTCTCCGAACCCATTGGGCTGCGAGCGAAAACCTTATCCTAGTTCACTTGTTGCCTCCCTACGAACACCTAATCCTAACTCACTTGCCTCCCTGCGACAACATTATCCCAACACCAGGCTTACGCGCGAAATTCGTCTCCGAATCCGTTGGGCTGCGAGCGAAAACCTCATCCTAACTCACTGGCCTCCCTACAAAGCCCTATCCGAACTCACTGGCCCCACCTCGAGGGCAACGACGTCTAAACCTCAGGGGCCCAGCGTGAGAACCCAATCCGAATACCTTGGGTTCCGCTCTGCGCGCCTCCGAACACCTTACCCTAACCTTATCGAAACTCCACGGGTTCTACTCGAAGCGCGAATAACTTCGCGCCTCGCGCTGCAATCTCCTGCTGTCCTAGCTCCAAGGATGCGAAGCGCGTCCACCTTCGCTCTGCGAACCGTCGTAGGCTCAGACCGCGAAGCGCGAATAACTTCGCGCTTTTGCGCCGCCACCCCGGGAGCGCGAAGCGCGACTAGCTTCGCACCCTCGAGGGAGCCCTTGCCTCCCAAACAGTCGGCACCATCTCAGCCATGAGTTTTCTCTCGTCGTTTTTCCGATGGCTACAATTGGCACCTTACTCACATGTCGTAATTGTCAGCCTTTTTTTCTGAGCGCCCGAAATTGGCTCGTGACTCGCATGTTCGTTCCGCTTTTTTTCTGGATATCTATGCTGGGACGTCACTCGCCAGTCAGTTGGGGGAAAATACCCGGCCATACGTTTAGACACGAAATATACATGCGAGCATAGACATGTTTAGACACGTTTAGACATGTTGAGACACGGCAGAATAGACACGGCGTAAAATGTTAGACACTGCTTGAAAAATGAACACGTTTAGACATTCGAGCACGCCGTGCAAGCGAGAGCGCCGCGCGTCTATTCATGTCTATAATAACTGGTTGTTTTAGACACTCGCGCACCGCGCTCGAACGAGAGCGCCGCGAGTCTATACGCGTTTAACGCAAAATAGACACGTCTTCCAGGGATGCGGAATGCCGTGTACACGCCCTCCTCTCCCGAGGGCTTCGTCTCTCGTGAAAACAAAACCATGGGGCCGCGCTCCCAGGGCCACGACCCTTCGAAAACACAATGCGTCCTTTGCTCGAGGCCAAGATGGCCCAAAATGCCTAAGGCGCAGCCCAGCATGGCCTCTAAGACGACCAGGTGTGACCCATGGACGGCGCCAACCAAACGTGCGCGGGCACCAGCACCTACCGGCAACTAATAGCAGCTAACTACAACTAAACTGCAAACAAGCAGCCATTAGGTTACAAAGTTGCGCCCAGCAGTTGCCACATAATTGCTACGTTCCCGCTCGCTGATGGGAGCCATGGTGTTATTGATCGTCTCTTGGGCCTCGTGGGGGTCTTCTGGGGACCGTGTGGAGCCCTTCTGGAACGCTTTTGGGACAATTTTGGGCCGTCTTGGGGCCCTTTGCGGCCGTCTTGAGGCTCTCTTGGGGCCCTTTTGGGAGCCTCTTTGGGCCCTCTTTGGGCCTCTTGAGGCTCTCTTTGGGGCCGTCTTGGGCCGTCTTGGGGCCCTCTTGGGCCGTTTTGGGCCCCTCTGGGGCCCGTCTGGGAGCCCTGGTGGACCGTTGTCGGGCCCTTTTGGGGCGCCTCTGGGGCCGTCTTGGAACGATGGGGCGTCTTGGGCCAGCGGAGGCCCTCCCTATGGGGCCACGAAGCGCTGTACTGGGTGGGTGAAAATGCCAAATCAGGTGTGCGGGACGCGTGCGGACGGCAGCACTGGGATCTTCGGTGGGGCTCCCCATGGGGCCACGGAGCGCTGTACTGGGTGGGTGGAACGCAGGGAGGAGGGAGGAGGGGCCCACGAAACGGTGTAGTGGGTGTGCGGGACGCATGCGGACGGCAGCACTGGGACCTTCGGTGGGGCTCCCTGTGAGGCCACGAAGCGCTGTGCTGGGTGGGTGAGACGCAGGGAGAAGGGAGGAGGGGGCCACGAAACGCTGTACTGGATGTGCGGGACGCATGCGCCATCATGGCATGTCCGAGCTCAGCCCGCGGGCTCAACGGTGTTCCGCACTGCATCCGAATGCCATGCCAGACCCGATCCGACCCGAGAGCATCACCACCCTGGCTTCCGACGCTTCTCCTCCCAGCCTGGCGAGAAGTCGTGATGCCCGCCCGGCTTCCCCACGAAGGGGTTCACGTGCTCGTCGTGCCCCTTCCAGAAGATCTTCGCGGCCAACTCTGGCCTCTCCTCGAGCAGCGCGAGAGGCCTGTCGATCCCACGCCGCTGCTCCGCGGGCAGGTGGTACCCACGCGTGTTGGCCGGGTTGACGAGCTCATTGGACGGCCTGACGACGTCCATGTACCAGCCGCCAGGCCCAATGTCAAATGCATTCGGGTCGCAGGCTCGCCAGCGCATCTCGTCAATCGTCGGGGCCGACAGCCCAGCGTCTAGACCTGGGAGAGAGAAGGATCCACCGCCGCTCTACTGTGGAAAATTTCGCCCTCCCCTTCCTCCGGAACCCGCCCCCCCCCCTCCGAAAATCCCCTCCCCCTGCTCGACAATTACACAATATGAAAATACTCTCCCACTTCCCCTGATGGCGTCCCGAAGAAACCCGAAACCCCCCCGCGTACTGTTTTTTACACACATGATTCCCGGGAAACGGGTTTTCGCTTGCGTTTGTTTTCAAAATGCTGCTCTCGCTGAGGCGCCGGCCTCATTTCTGCTCCCGAATCGTTCCGAATCGTGCTCCCTCTGCAGCGTGGGCCTCATTTTCGGATCGGTGTTTGGCCTCCGTCGTTCAGGATGGCGTTCTCGCCCCAGCGCGGGCCTCCTTCTCGCGCGCCCATCCGCCCGCCACCACCGCGCTGCACCACCACCACCACCACCACCACCACCACCACCACCACCACCAGCACCAGCACCAGCACCAGCACCAGCACCCACCCACCAGCACCAGCACCACCACCACCACCACAACCACGCACACACGCACGCACGCACGCACGCGCACCACCACCCACTACGCACGCGCGCGCGGAGCCACAGGTCCGCTACGACACGCGTCCGCGGATAGAGAAAATCAGCGCCATGGTAAGGGATGGGAGGGAGGGGTAGGACGTCAGATATGACGCGAGCGCACCTAGCTTGTACCCCCCCCCCCTCCCCCCCCCCCCCCCCCCTCCTCCCCCGGCACCCCCCCCCCCCTAACCCCTCCCCCCCCGCTTCTCTGGAAAACGGGGGGGGGGTCACTACCTGTTCGAACTACCTGCCCCCCCCCTCGCCGCCGGCAAAAGACTCCCGGTCCCCACCAGTCTTCACCACCGCCCTCACCTGTCCCACTGTCCCCACTGTCCCCACCATTGTCCCACTGTCCCACTGTTCCCACCACTGTCCCCAATGTCCCCACCAATGCCCCACCGCCGTCGCACTGTCCCCACTGTCCCCGCCACTGTCCCCACCACGGTCCCACTCTCCCCACTGACCCCACTCTCCCCTCAACTCCCACAGTCCCCACTGGCCCCGCCACTGTTCCACCTTCCCCACTATGCCCGCCGCTGTCCCACTGAGCTGTCCCACTGTTCCCACCACTGTCCCGCTGTCCCCACCACTCTCCCCACTGTACCACTGTCCCATTGTCCCATCACCGTTCTCACCACCGCCCTCACCAGTCCCAACCACCACCGTCCCCGCCACTGTCCCACTGTCCCAACCCCTGTCCCATTGTCCCCTCGCCACTGTCCCCCCCATCACCGTCCCCACCACTGTCCCACTGTCCCCATTGTCCCCACCACTGTCCCACTGTCCCTACTGTTCCCACCACTGTTCCCACCACTGTCCCCACCACTGTCCCCACTGTCCCCGCCAGTGCCCCCACCACTGTCGCACTACCCCCACTGTTCCCACCACTGCTCCCACCACGATCCCACTCTCCCCACTGTCCCAACTGTCCCCACCACTCTCCCCTCTGTCCCCACTGTCCCCACCACGGTCCCACTCTCCCCACTGTCCCCACTGTCTCACTGAGCTGTCCCACTGTGATGCCCCTCTGTCCACAATGTCCCTACCACCCCACCACTGTCCCACTGTCCCCACTGTCCCCACCGTTCTCCCCACTGTACCACTGTCCCAATATCCTGACCACCGCCCTCACCACTGTCCCCACCACCACCGCCCCCACCACTGTCCCACTGTCCCCATTGTCCCCACATCTGTCCCATTGTCCCCAAAGTCCCCAACACTGTCCCCACTGTCCCCGCCAGTGTCCCCACCACTGTCGCACTACCCCCCCTGTTCCCACCACTGTCCCCACCAGTGTCCTGCTCTTGCCACTGTCCCCACTCCCAACCACCATCCCCACCACCGTCCCAACCATTGTCCCCGCCAGTCCCCCATCTGGAGTGGGAGAGGACGGGGAGTCGTTGCGGCGAGGGAGGAGGGGAAGGGAGGGGGGGGGGTCGAACCGGTAACTAGTGACACCTCCAGATTTTCCAGGAGGGGGGGGGAAGGGGTTCGAACCGGTAGTGACCCCCCTCCATTTCATGATGGACGGGGGGAGAATTGGGGGGTCGGAACCCCCAGTGACCCCCCCTGCTTGTCGAGAGGGGGGGGGGGCGGGTTGGAACCCCCCAGTGACCCTCCCTGGTTTTCTGCCAGCAACGTTAGAACACGCTCTTTCAGACCTGGCACACTAGGCTCCGCGTAGTGCGTGTACTTGAAGATGACCTCATCGTTAGACATCGCAAAATTATGGATGTGACGGGAGGCCATGACAGGCGTCATACTGCCAGAGCTGCCAGTGCGGACCTCCTGCATGTCGATCCCGCCATCCATGACACAGACCGCGAGGATAGCGTCTGGGTGCCACCACGCAGGAACGGTGGTGGGACAATCGATGTAATACTCAAACACTTGGGAAAGCAACAGTACCTTCGCGTCCTTGACGCATGCGTCTTGTGGTTTTCTGCCCCCAGCCAGCTTGCGCTTCACCTCCGCGAACGCGGTGCTCTCACACTCAGCGAGGGCAACAAGAGACTCACGAAGCGGGATTTCGTCAGAGTCCGCGACGATGAGGATGTCCTCTTTGTGCAACTCCCATGTGCCCGCGGAGTCCTGCAAGCCCCTTTGGAATTGGGCGCGGATCCACTCCTCCAAGATGAACGGATCCGTGCTTTGGTGATGCCCTGGCCTGCTCAACTTATCCCGCTGCTCTGAAGACCATTTCGGAAATAGTTTGGGGTTCCACTCTGGAATCGGATTCTCCAACACGACGTGCCGCAGCTTGTCCCCATAGCGCTTCCACCTCGCGTCAGACATGTTCAAGCTCGGCTGCCTTGGAGCTCCTGTCAGGGTCACTAAAGGATCCAAAGCAACGATCCGATCAACGAGCGGATAGATCTCTGCGAAAGTCAGGTCATAGACGTCCTGCTGGCCGTTGTTCCCGACGAGGGTGCAGTAAAATAGACGCGGTCTTCGCTGACCCTCTGGACGAGCTGTCCAGCCGAAATACTTGCAAAGCCCATCGATCCCGAACTCCTGCGCCACGCTCGCCGCCGCCAGGACCAGGGGTCTGGCCCGCTCGGTCGCTGCCGTTACAGGCACGGCCACGCCAACGCCTGTGGTGGGCTCGCCCGCGCACAGGGCTGGCCGCCCGGGCGGCGACCCTGCGCTTTCCTGCAGCCCTTGGAAACCGAAGGAGATTGCGTACGAGGCTCCCGCCAAGTCGGACAATCTCGCCAGGCCCGCGGCAGCCCCCAGGCAGAAGCCGACCGTGAGCCCGGCGCCGGCTGTGAGAGCGTATCGGATGCAGTAGTAGCCCATGATTAACCGCTCATGGCCGCTCGTACGTCCCATGATTAACCGCTCGGGGCCGCGCTTACTTGCCTGCTCGGACTCCACCTCGAGCCGAAAGGGTACGGATCATGGTGGGGATGATGCTGCTGATGATGATGATGATGGTGCTGATGATGATACTGATAATGATGATAATGATGATGATGATGATGATGATGCTGATGATGCTGATGATGCTGATGTTGATGCTGCTGCTGATGATGATGGTGGCGGTGGTGATGCCGATGAGCAGATGAGGACGTGGACGATAATGGTGGTGATGAGGGGGTGGGCGACAACGGCAACGACGAAGACGAATACGATTATCCCAGTGCGACCCTACCTAGGAGTTGGAGCATCTAGGAAAACAACATTTACATCTACATCGACAGCTACATTAACATCTACAGCTGCATCTACATCTACATCAACATCAACAGCGATATTCACATCTACATCTACATCTACATCTACACCTGCATCTACATCTACATCTACATCTACACCTACATCTACATCTACATCTACACTTTCGCATTGGTTTTGTTCCCAACCATCATGTGGTGTTGGGTCCTCGTTTTGAAGAGACGGTGCCCCGCGTTCCTCTCCTTCCTTCCTTCCTTCCTTCCTTCCTTCCTCCCCCCTCCTCCCCACCCCCCCCTCCTCCTGCCCGCGTGCGGTTCCTCCACCCAGGGCAGCGTTTCGTAGCCCCATAAGGAGCTCCACCGAAGGCCACAGTGGGGGTGTCCACATGCGGCTCCCCCACCCAGCGCAGCGTTTCGTAGCCCCATAGGGAGCTCCACCGAAGGCCCCAGTGGGGGTGTCCACATGCGGTTCCCCCACCCAGGGCAGCGCTTCGTAGCCCCATAGGGAGCTCCACCGAAGGCCCCAGTGGGGGTGTCCACATGCGGTTCCCCCACCCAGCGCAGCGTTTCGTAGCCCAATAGGGAGCTCCACCGAAGGCCCCAGTGGGGGTGTCCACATGCGGTTCCCCCACCCACGGCAACCCCTCGTAGCCCCATAGGGAGCTCCACCGAAGGCCCCAGTGGGGATGTCCACATGGGAAAGGACGAGGAGGGCTAGGTGGAACACGTAGAGCAGCATGAGAAGAATGAGTAACGGGATAGGGATTCGCTTTTAGCTTACACCACATAGCTTGACCACGGTGGACATAGCTTACACCACGGTGGGCGCGGCCCTTGGCGGCCAATATCCGGTCCTATTGGCTGACATCGGGTGCTATTTGCTGCTGTCGGCTCCCGGCGGCTACACTCGGCTGCTATACGAGACTGCAGGCTCACATCAAAACTACCGAGTGTTAAACCCAGGGTAAAGAGGGGGAAGAAATAAGGAGCATCCTCATTGATCCTCCTCTTCTTCCTCCGGTTTTCCTGCTCACGCGAGGGGATGCCAATCGAGCGCGTCGTACGGGACATCCCCACGACCTGCTCTGGTACAAGTCGCGTCACAATTAACTTGCCAAATGTGTCGATCGAGAGTTTGGCCTAAAAGTGTCCCCATCCGCTTCTTACCCTTCGTCCTCCTCCCCCATCCACCTCCTCCTCCTCCTCCTCCTCCTCCTCACTCCTTCCATTCAGCTCCCTCCATCCACCCATCCCACTCGAGCGGTGGCGCAGGAGTTGTGAGGATGTCTCGAGCGGCGGCGCCTGAATTGTGAGGACGTTTCGAGCGGCGGCGCCGGAGTTGTGAGGATGACTCGAGCGGCGGCGCCAGACTTGCGAGGTTGTCTCGAACGGCGGTGCCAGAGTCGTGGACGCCCCTGACGCCCTTGGCTCTCCTGACGCTCCTGACGCTCTTGACGCTCCTGACGCTCCTGTCGCCCCTGACGCTCCTGACGCCCTTGACGCTCCTGACGCCCCCCGGCGCAAGAGTTGTGAGGATGTCTCGAGCGGCGGCGCCGAAGTTGTGAGGATGTTTCGAGCGGCGGCGCCGGAATTGTGATGATGTCTCGAGTGGCGGCGCTGGAGTTGTGAGGATGTCTCGAACGGCGGCGCTGGAGCTGTGAGGATGTCTCGAGCGGCGGCGCTGGAGTTGTGGACGCCCCTGACGCTCCTGACGCTCTCCTGACGCTCCCTGACGCTCCTGACGCTCCTGACGCTCCTGACGCTCCTGACGCTCCCTGACGCTCCCTGACGCTCCTGACGCTCCCTGACGCTCCCGGCGTGCCCGACGCTCCCTGACGCTCCCTGACGCTCCCTGACGCTCCCTGACGCTCCTGACGCTCTTGACGCTCCTGACGCTCTTGACGCTCTGACGCTCCGGAGTCTTTTGACGCTCCTGACGCTCGAGCGGCGGCGCCGGAGCTGTGAGGATGTCTCGAGCGGCGGCGCCGGAGTTGCGAGGATGTTTCGAGCGGCGGCGCCGGAGTTGTGAGGATGTCTCGAGCGGCGGCGCCGAAGTTGTGAGGATGTTTCGAGCGGCGGCGCCAGAGTTGTGAGGATGTCTCGGCGCCGGAGTTGTGAGAATGTCTCGAACGGCGGCGCCGGAGTTGTGAGGATGTCTCGAGCGGCAGCGCCGGAATGGTGGACGCCCCTGACGCTCCTGACGCTCCTGACGCTCTTGACGCTCCTGACGCTCCTGACGCCCCTGACGCTCCTGACGTTCTGATGCTCCTGACGCTCCTGACGCCCCCCGGCGCCCCCGACGCTCCCTGACGCTCCCTGACGCTCCCTGACGCTGCTGACGCCCCTGACACTCTTGACGCTCCTGACGCTCTTGACGCTCTGACGATCCTGACGCCCCTGACACTCTGACGCCTGGAGCGTCAGGAGCGTCAGGAGCGCCAGAGCGTCAAGAGCGTCAGGAGCGTCGAAAGCGTCAGAGCATCAGCACTTTTTTCAGGGGCGCGCTGCGCCAGCTCTCCGAAACTGGAACCCAAGAGTCGGATCGGCCAGGAATCGAAGCTCCTGAGTTGGCCAAGCCTCTCAGGGGCAACTGGCGAAAGGCCATGAAAGGCCTGGCCAAGCTTGGTGCTGGCATATCACTGAACCCCCCCCCGCGAACTTCACGCGACGCCCCATGACTTTCGAACCAGCCGGCCTTGAAGGCGATGTGATATCACTTCTTTTTTGCGCAACGGCAAAGCGAGGTGCAGTAGCAGCAGTGGTCTGGCTGATGGGGCAACGTCGGGCCTATCCTCCGACGAAGTGCCACACAGCATCTAACGCAAGGACAAGGAAGTCCGCCCACCCCTTTGGGTGAATGGTGTGTGAAATCGACGGGCAACCCGCCTCATGCAATGCCCAGGTACCCTCGCCCATTTGACAAGTGGCCCCGATTGACAGATTTGCCACTGGGAACAAGGAGGGTTCCAGTCTCCCGAGTGTCCACTGAAAAGTGACACAAATTGACAGGACATCTTTGAGCCCAGAAATGGGAGATCTCGGGCGAAATTGGTTGAACCACCTCAGGTCTGGGCATCCCCGAAAATACAATCCCGACGATGTCTCAAGCGAAAAAGATCGGGACCACGTGAGGTGAGGACATAAGACGTACATAAACCTGGAGTGGCAATGAGATCTCAAGCGAAACGAACAGTCCACGGCAACTGCGAGCCCAGAGCAGCGAGGAAACGGGATCTGATACCGTGCGACAAGAGCATCGACGAATCCAGAATAACGAGGATGCACCGGGCGAAGATTGCTCTGCGAGGATGTTTCAAGCCAAAAAGCTGGACCGCCTCATGACAGCGGCGAAGAAGCCGAAGCGCAATGGGCTGGACTCTCTCGCGCGGCAACTCGAAGCCCATAACTGCAGGGATGTCTCGAGACCGGCCGGACCGCCTCACAGGCGGCATCTCAGGGCCCAAATTACCGATGATGGCTTCGCCGAAACCGACCCAAACAACTTCTAGCATGTGGTCTCCTAACTCAAAGACCCAGCCGTCTTCTGGGCAGGAGATGGTCAATCGCGGTTCCTTGTCCAACCCCATGTTTCCCCTTCGGGGATGGGGTCGTTGCTGCTCCTGGATGATACTTGCCACCTCGCCCAATCTACCGACCGCTAACCCGAGTCACTGCCACCCCCCTCGATTCAAACCAAGAACGTGTCCTCAGGTCCTTGCCATCATCCTCTCAACCTCAACCATCACGCCTGAGGAGTCGTTCAGAGCCCCAGACCCCACATCGCGACACCTTCTCCTGGGGCTTCTCGCGGTTTCTCTCGTGACCGTTTCGGAGCGATGGCGGCCCCAAAACGGGCCCAAGAGGGCCCAAAGAGGCCCACGACGGCTCAGAACGCCCCGAGACGCCCAAAGATCGCTCCAAGACGCCCTAAATGGTCTCAAGATGGCCCAAGAGGCCTCCAAGATGCCCAAAGAGGCCTTGAAGATGCCCCCCAAGAGGACCCTGAGAGGCAAAAATCCGCCGACCCCTTGTGGGTCTCTAGGCGTGTGAGATAGTTCCCCCCCAAAAAATACCCCCCCAGGGACCCCAAACCTGCGATTTGACCCCTCCCTCCGGGCCCGGGACGAGCGACTCACAGGCTTTTTTGGGCCCAAAAAGGGCTCAAGACGGGCCAAGAAGGTCCCAAGACGCCTACAAGACGGCCCACGAGGGCCCCGAGACGCCACACGAGCGCTCCAAGACGCCCAAGATGGTCACATGACGAGCCAAGAGACCTCCAAGACGGCCCAAGCGGCCTCCAAGAGCAGTCCTCAGAAGGGCCTACGAGCTGAAAACTGTGAAATTCCTATGAAAAACCTACATTTTGATGATATACGACTTGACGGCCTTCACGGCGTTGAAGACCGTCCAAGAGCACCCTAAGACCGCTCCAAGACGGCCCAAGAGGCCCCCAAGAGGCGCCCAAGTCGGCCCCAGAGGGCGCCAAGACGGCCCAACAGGCCCCCAAGACTGCCCAAGAGGGCCCCAAGACGGCCCCACGAGGGGCCCAAGAAGGGGAGCTTGAACCGACAATCCGAGCCTTCCGCCCCAAGACGGCACCAGAAGGCCCCAAGAGGCCACAGGAGGCCCCCAAGACGCCTCCAAGAAGCTCCAAAAGGCCCCCAAGAGGGCCCCAAACGGTCCCAAAACGGCCCCCAAGAGGCTTCGAAACTGCCTCCAAAAATCCCGCGAGAAGCCCCTCGCCCATTCTTCCTTTTCCTCCCTCGCCTCATCCTCATCCTCGTCGATTCTTTTCCCCCCGTTCTTCATTTTCTCTGTGTGCCCCTCCTCCTCCTCCTCACCGTCCTTGTCCACCTCGGCCCCCCGGTGGCTTCAAAATTGTTTTCCAGAGGTCCCCGAAAGGCGTGCCGCGAAATCGCTATACACATACAAGAATTTCTCACCCATAGACCATACATCGCTATACACATACAAGAATTTCTCACCCATAGACCATAACTCAGAGCCTCATCTCAATGTCCCCCTCCTCCTCGTCCTCCTCCACCCTCTCCACGTTCCCCTCCTCCTCGTCCCCCTCCTCGTGTTCCTGGTCGGCTTCACCTCGTCATATTCGATGATTCGCCCCCCCCTATCCTCCGCCTCATCTCCATTCGCCTGTCTCCGTCCTCCTTTTTCTCACCAATACGCGTGCCCGCTTTCGCCGTTGGGAGCCTTGGCGTGATGAGCCTTCTGCGTTACCGATCACTCTGTATTTGCCCTGTGTCTTCTGGGCCGTCCTCTTGGGGCCTATTAGGGGTTCTTTTGGACTGTCTTGGGGCCCTCTTGAACCGTCTTGGGACCATTTGGGACGTCCAATTTTCTCGAATGCTGAGGGCTTAACCGATAACTCTCAGAAGGTCTTGCATGCTTCCCCGATTGCGGAAAAACGCCTGACGGGGAGCTGACCAGGTCTTCCAAATTGTGGTGAGAGTTTCACCGATAACTCTCAGAAGGTCTCGCGTGCTTCCCCGATTGTGGGAAAACGCCTCACGGGTCGGCAGGCCCCTTAGGGGCGGCGCGGGCGGGCCGGAGCCCAGCCCCTTGCATCTCAAAGTAAGACAACCATAAGATAAGCTGCACTGAGTGCTATCATAAGACATTGCATCCGAAACGAAGGTTACAGACGAAAGGTAAGCTGAATTGAATGCTGCGAGGCAGGGACCAGACATTGCAAGACGAGAGAAAACGACTAATGATGCTTGACGATTTCGCGCTGCTATCACAAGGAATACAAGGGGTCGGCGGATGTGGCGTAAGCCTGTAGAATCAAGAAACAAATGAATCCCACATCCTCGGCCCCCCACTCCCGAGTCGGCCTGCTCAAGGACTGGCGCCGCGCGCGGTGTACAGGGCCCGCGCTCGCCTCGAGCCTCTTCGCAGCTGTCCATGGCGCGAGGCGGGGGAAAGAGGATGCGAGGGGCAGGAGGACGACGCGCACTAGCGTGGCGCAACCAATGCCTGCGGGAACGCGCGGCTTAGAAGAGCGGGCAGAAGTGCGCGCCTGCGGCGAAGGCCATGCAGCGGGAGGAGGGGAAAGACGGCGGCCCTGCATCGCAATGCGGCAAAAGCTCCAATCGTCCCCCACTGCCACCGCCTCCGGGCCAGCGGCCCAAGCGGTACGATCATGTCGACCGCGACCGCGACGGGACTGCCACAAGCCGCTCCGCCATCCTCCGCGCAGAGGAACGCAGCGGTTTTCACGCCAACCGACTCCATGACCACCCTAATGACCATGCCTGCTTCGCGGGAAAACCGAGCACGCATGCCGACGGACAGCGAGGCGGGCGGCCCCTTGTCTTTGTCCTTGCCTGGGCCCGATGGGTGCGGCGGCAGATCCTCCGCCCAGGCGTCGCCAGACGACGCGACCCCGTCGTCGACTGCCACGCCGCTGCCGATCACCTCCGCCTTGCCCTGCGCTGCGCCGTCGTCGCGGACATCAACGAGAGCTCCGCGAAGGGCCGCCGCGCGGCCCGCGCCGCCGCGCCCGCGGGGGCGCTGTCGGCGCCAGGGGCGCCGCCATACTTCCCGCAGGCGCCGGCGCGGCAGCCGCCGCTGGAGCGTTGAGCGATGTGACGGCTGCGCGCAGCAGCCCATGAAATGCGCGAAGCAGCCGCGTTCCCTCGCGGGAGTGGCCCGCGGCCAAGCCGAACGCGGCGCGCGTGGCCATCAACGCCCCGCGCGGGGCTTCCACGGCACAGCGCCGCCCGTCCATCGGCCCTGGCATTGGTGCGCCGCGGTGGGGCCTCCGATGCGAACTTGAACAGAACTGGGCTGAGTGGGAGTTGCCGCCGCTCCCGCCGCGGGGGGCCTCGCCTCCACTTGAGGAGCCAGACCCCCCAACAGCAAACAGGAAACAGTCCGCGGCTTTCACGGCTCAGACGAAGAGCGGCAACGACCGTCGCCACGAGCACCAAGAAGTGCTCCACGGCCACCATGGCCATTTTGTACGGGCCGAGCTCGCGCACGAACTCGGGGCAGCCTAGCAGCGCAGCGGCGCGGCAGGAGGCGCGGCCGGTGGCCCAGCACCAAGAGGCAGCGCCACGGCCACCGCGGGGACGCCGAAGCGACCCGCCGCACGTCGGCAAGCCCAATGACGACGCGGCGCCGCCCACGCCACCGCCGCAGCCACGCGCGCAGGCCGCAGGCCAACGCCCAGCGGCGCGCAGCAGCAGGTCCGCGCCTGCCCAGGCGGCCAGGCCGCCGCCAGGGCGATCGCGGCGGCGCGGCGCGGTGTGCGCCAGCCTCGCGGGACTCCACCCAGCGGCGACATGGAACAGCTCACGGCGGCAGGCGGCCTGCGTCGGCGGCCTGCGTCGACTGAGTGGGAGGAGGAGGAGGAGGAGGATGGGGAGGAGGAGGAGGAGGAGGAGGAGGAGGAGGAGAACGAGAACGAGAACGAGAACGAGAACGAGGAGGAGGAGGAGGAGGAGAAACAGTAAGAGGAGGGAGAGGAAAAGGAGGAAGAGGAGGAGGAGGGGGAGAAGGAGGAGGAGGAGGAAGGACGAGGACGGGCAGGGACGGAGGAGAGGGAGGTGGGGGAGCGAGGCAAGGCGAGGCGAGGCGCTGTAATTCGTGCTGGAGCACGGCCCTCTAGCAGCAGAAGCGCCGGTAGGCAGAAACTCGCTTCTCGATGCTACTCCAGATTTCGTAATAAAAGGGAGGGGGTCTGGACCCTCCAAGACAAGCCGTTTCAGACCTCCCCCGTGGGAGAACCCTCCAAAACATCGTCCCCAGACCCCTCCAGGCCCTCCAAGATAGCCTGGAAGAGACCCCCCCGAAATGAGACCCCCCTCCCT